TGTATTGGGTCATGAAAGTATTGTCATGGGTGGATCAGTGGGTGATGGTCGGTACCGGTGAGCTTCAAGTTTATTTCCCTTTTTCGACCCTCCCGCCACCAGTAAACCATGCAATGGACTGGCCACGAACACTTTAGGACACGTCTAGTCCTTTCTATAATCAGCGGGAAGCCCGTCAAAATCACTGGAATTCGTTCGTCGGATAAAGACCCAGGTTTGCGAGGTAAGAAAAATCGTTTTCAAGGATCTACTTGCATGCAAAGAAACTCAACCTTCGCAGATTATGAAGTTTCCTTGCTTCGGCTCATTGAAAAGATAACGAATGGTTCTGTTATTGAGATATCCCACACCGGGACCGCCATTCTGCTCAAGCCAGGAGTTTTGACTGGGGGACCCGTCACCCATGATTGTCCTCTTTCTCGCTCTATCGGATACTTCTTGGAGCCAATAATAGCTGTGGCACCGTTTAGCAAGAAACCATTGATGCTTACTTTGCGCGGCATCACCACCGATGACAAGGACCTCAGTGTGGATATCATTCGGACAGTCACTCTCCCGCATTTGACAATGTTTGGAGTTGAAGATGGTGTGGAACTCAAGGTAGTTACCCATTCTCTTCTGGCCTCGTGCACCCTATCCAAACTAGGCTCGATTGATGACCAACCGTCTCTTACTGACGACTTTCATTCTTGTAGATTCGGAAACGTGGAGCACCTCCAGGTGGAGGAGGAGAGGTACAATTTATCTCACCCGTTGTCAGGACAGTAAAGACCTTGAACTTTGTCAATGCTGGGCGAGTAAAAAGAATACGCGGCATAGCGTACGTCCTATTTCCTCTTTCTATGTGCCCCCGTAAAACTTAGGATTGATTTCTATATATTCTTTGTTTAGGCATGCTGTCCGTATATCGCCCCAGTTCTCAAATCGAATGATCGAGGCATCTCGCTCGGTGTTGAACCGATACATCCCGGATATATACATTCACTCTGATGTCTACAAAGGCGAAGAATCCGGGAAATCACCTGGATATGCTCTCAGTCTCCTAGCCGAGACCACCGAAGGAGCGCTATTCTGTGCAGAGGCGGTATCGACACCGAGGTCTGACCCTCATCAGGCAAAACCAGGAAAAGCCAAGCGTGACAAGATCTTTGGTGAGGACCCTGAAGAGGGACCATTGCCAACGACCCCGGAGGACGTGGCGTTGGCTGCCTCTCGCTCTCTCCTGCTAGAAATTCAAAAAGGTGGATGTGTGGATCGGAAGCACCAATGGCTGATTTTGCTATATATGGCCCTAGGGAGTGAGGACGTTGGACGAGTAAAGATGGGGCCACTAAGCCCCCGAAGGCAAGTAGAAAGGAACCCATTCCCGAACTATTCGCTTACTGATACCACTAGTATCCAATTTTTGCGAGATCTCAAAGACACCTTTGGTACTTCGTTCAAGATTAATCCGGTGGACGAAGCTAATGCACAGTCCGAGCTTTTGCTATCGTGTTATGGTACCGGTTTTATCAACGTAAACAGAGGCCTCGCATAAGGCACGCTATTTGTCCATAAAAGCTTAATAAAGCCGTGAAAGAATGTCCTCACGACAAGAGCCTAAAGATATTAACCACAATTTTGCAACAATTGCCAAGCTTTATTTCATAAGGAGTGGCCTACACAAAGTCTCGAACTTCTAGCTATCTTCCTCAATCCGGTGAGTAGCTAACTACGTATAAACAGAGAGGATATGTGGATTAATGGGCCGAAAGTCTAAGCTGGGACGAAGGTGAGTGATGGTCAACGAGTAAATAGAGTACGAACCTGGGACGAAGGTGAGTGATGGTCAACGAGTGAAGACACCATCACCACCTTCGACCCGGCTTATATACAGGCGGTGACTAGCTAAACGGGGACTATCAACAGAAAGATGCCAAATACCCTACAGTCCGGCCTGTATTCATGGACCAAGGGCTTTCAAGGGAATGACTGCCGACTCGACACTACGAATTTCCGCTTCCAGAGACTCGAAAATTCTAGTTTCAGTGATTTTTTCCCATCTATCATGACCACAACGCGTAGGAGGTGTCTTTGTCATCACAGACGTGAAGGTGAGCCAGCTGGGTTTCTCGAGTAATCGTGATGTCAATCCGGCCATCAAGTCATAAAATTGCCCAATACAATAGGAGCATATTGGTTTTTGGTTCAATGAATAATCGCTCAAAGAGGACGTAATGGCCCTCGATTCAATGTAATTTGCTTGAGTGCGCATGAGTTTCCCTATCTTATCAATCAGTAGCTGTGCTCTTTCTTCCCTATTTCCATCAATTGGATAGCTGTCCTGCCACTGAGAAACTATTTCCCTGGGATTAGGATGCTCCTATCTGCCATAACTGCATCTCGCATAGAAATACTGCCAACCTCCGTCAAATTGAACCTTTCAGCGAGACTCAAAAACAGCATAGGATTCTCCTTGATAGGGTATTCATCATTCCACTGGATGATATGGTCACAGACCATATAGTAGCGACCTAGCCTTGCCCATTTAGCAAAATTTTCAACTAGTTTTGTCACCTGCTACTTTGTCGCAACCTCAAGGAAAGATTCTGCAGCATCTCTCGTGAGGTCCGGTCGGTCTTTTAATGGGTCGATATAAAGGAGAAAACATGTGATCGTGGGGGAGTCTTCTGTGATGGCCAATGGTTCAGGCGGATTGCTCGTATCTCCAATGGAGAACATATCCTTGAACACAGGAGACATGTGCGCAAGGACTCCACGAGAAAAGGAGAATACCACGTTGTCGCTCGACTTCAATTCAAAATCACCGTATCCAGAAGGAAATTCGGTCGAGTATTGAGTGGTAGGACTGTCGTTCGAAGTTTGTGCCATCTACATGAGACAATAATTGGGTCAGAATACCGCATCTCTCATCGATACACGATTCATTAGGGAATATTACACTAATCACTTAAATTACATACCTTGTGTAACTTATTTTGTCCTTTCTGCGATGGAAGGGTAGGCTTAGGTTGTCAGGCTCATACTTTGCCTGCCACCTAACATCCAATTGATCGACTGCATCAACTTTAATCCAACTGAGAAATTAGTGACGAAGATGTGCGATCCAACAAATGATCTCTTGTGCAGATGTTCATCTAATCGAGTGAGGCGCGTGATACTCTTAGGATTGGAAGTAGTAGCTCAACAAAATCTCCCTTGTACCCATATAAGCCTTGAAGAAAACCGGCCTTATTGTTTAGTTACGAGAACTCGATTGATAAACTGAAATGTGAACCTTGCTAGAACGATTTGGCATCTCGCCTGGTGTTCACTCAGAAGCTTTTAGGAATGAGACGACCAACAAATCGACTGACGTGTTATTATGTGTGGGCCCCGAATATTGCTGGCACATACTAGAGTTTAGCAAATAGGCCATGTCATTCGAATTGCAAACAGTGTGTAAAATTCGGACTAATTGGAAACGTATCATGGTTCAAGCTATTGGGTTATATTGGCAACTCGGCTCTTCCTTCACCTACCCCGTGTTCCTGTTTGTGGTGTGAAACATTCAAAGGAATCCTTTCGGACTCTACTTTGAGGATTTCCTCCTCGAGAATGTCGAAATCCGACCTATGAAAAGAAGGGCGCCAGAATCTCACGGTTAAATGCTGCCAAAGATTTACACTGCATTTGGCACATGGGGTGTTGATCTTCTCTTCACCTTCCAAAATGAAGGCCGACCAGGTAGGGTGATCAAGTAGCCGTGTGGACAATCCAACTACCAGATCATAAAGATTTTTGAGGCATTCGAAGCATTCTGGGATATTCGTTGTACCCGAGCTTTTAGTATCCGCCCTCTCAAGTTGGGACCTCTTTCGTCCCGATTGGGGGGATAGAGAGGTCCCTATTTTCCATCGTATGATATCAATTTCGTCTCTGATGAGTTTTGTCACCTTCTCTATCAACATCCTCGTCCTCTCTTGGCGAGTTTCCACGAATTGGATAATTGTCGTCCTATTGAGAGGATATTTAGAGATAGATGTAGCCCTTTTGTTCGCTACTACTGCATCACGCATGGAGATGCTACCAATTTCTGGGAGACAGAATTTTTCAGCCAGACTCAAGAATAGCATAGGGTCCTTCTTGATAGGGCTGCTCCCATTCGAAACGACGTCACTTTTGGCATCATGAGAAATGCAAGCTGAACCAGTGACTGCCCAGTTCTCGAATGTTTCGACCATTATGGCAACTTGATACTTGGTGGCGGCTTCGATCAGGGATTCGGCCGTGTCCAATGTAAAGCCCGGAGAATACTTGAGTGGGTCTATGTACAGGAGAAATTGTCTGATAGTTTTTGAGTCCTCCGTAAGGTTTAGTGGTTCATGTTGACCATCTGTATCGCCGATGGAGAACATGTCCTTGAATACAGGAGACACGTGCGCAAGGATCCCACGAGGGAAAGAGAAGATCACATTGTCACTTGATTTCAGCTCGAAGTCACCGTATCCTAGGGGAAAGTCGATAGAATAGTTATTGTCCTGGGCTTCGGAGATCTGCGCCATCTGAGACATGGATGAGAACAAGAGTCAGCACATCACCACTTGGTTCAGTCCATGACTACTAAGTCACCATCACGCACGATGAATAACCTATAGAATATACGGGATTGTTGTGGTTCTACCCGGTATATGTGATCCTTTGACAAGATTGATATCGTCATGTCAGGCTCACAAGTCGTCTGCCGACATTTAGACCTGAATTAGTCATCCAGCTCAAGAACCGCAATATCTTTACCAGAAGAATGAGTAAATATGAGCTCTCTCAAATGATGATGTATATTAATCGGTAGAGCAGATATTCGCCAAGCTTCAGGAATACAGTACCAGTAAATAGCACCAC